AAAAACCCTTTGTGGAGATGGTGGACAGACAGAGGTTGTAGCTGGTTGACTGTGTCAATTGAAAAGTGCCAATCTGCCCCGACCGGCAGTTTTGATTAAAGAAGATTGTAACTTCTGCTTGGCTAGCGTCTGTCTGGTAGAGTTCAGGGAGCCGTAGGATGGGTGACCGCTCCAGAATCCCAGTTGCTACCTCCCCGAAGGAGTAGAAAGAAAGTATTCCCTTTCTTGTTTCGTTTAGTTATTTTCACTGCAATGTGTTTAGTAAATATTACCCGATGTATTATTCAACGCAACGATTCGTTTAGTTATCTCCATAAGATACCATTCGTCGGGGGTACGACCTGTTTAGTGAACATTACTATACGTGCATTAGTGTATTTAACTAAACAGCAGTTTTGTGAACGTGACTAAGCACTTAGTTTTCCCAAAAATTCCTATACCATTTAGTTGAATCTACTGCGTGATTAATTGTATGAACTAAACATTTCTCTCCTTGTATTGCAGATGATAATCAGTTCCAAATGTATGGTAGTTCCACCATAGTTATACTGATCATACTGAGTCTTCTGGGGGAAGTTCGTTAGATGGTGAAGGATATGAAACAAAAAGTATCGCTTATGGATGATATATGTAGAAACCCGTGTGCTAGCCAGCCCCGCACTCCCCTTCCGAAAATATAAAGCATATTTTCGGATACTTCTATCGCACTGAGGAAAAAGGTTCCGAATAAGTACGTAATAAGAACAGACTGATGAAAATGAAACTTAAGTTTACTTTAAAAATTATATACTATAATTTTATAGAATTTGTTGGTTAGCGAATAAAGTAGTGCACGTACCTGTAGCGGTTATTGAGAACCTCCAGACGTCTGTGTATTGGTCAAAGTCGTAACGTAGCAAACACAACTCTTTCCTTGTGTGCAAAAATGTAACAAAAATGCTTAAAATGTTACACTGTTTTGAAAGATGTGTTCTGGTGAATGAAAGCACCAGCAGAAGTTCCCTACCTCGTAGACAAATATCATTAATAAGGGAATAAACAACATGGTTTTCAGTAAATTCAATTTCATAAAAACTGGTGAGTTCAGGCTTCCTTCAGAAATGGTTGGTAATGAGAGTACCCTGTGAGAGCATAAGATGTATTCAAGGATCACGGCTTCTGGTATCTGTTAATTAAACAAGGGCTTCTAATATTGTAATTTATTGTGGAGTGGGTTAACGAATTAATTCGTCTCTGAGAAAGTCTGTAAGTGTAAATGTTGATTGTTGTTCAGGTATCCCAGTGATGCTGTTTTATGGGTAAGAAAGAGAGAAAATTAGACGCGTTACGTGCTATCGTACATACCTTGTTGGAATAATGTGCCTATTTACGGACGGCATTCAGAACTCGTGTTCCTGTGACGATATTTCTTGATTTTCTCCCCCTAGGGGTTTAGAACTTAGTGCGTTTGTGACACTTGTATTCATCACGACCAGTCGGTGTATGACGTCGCGTAACCTGCATTTAAAGTGACATCATATTAGGGATATCCTTTGCGAATTGTTCTCATTTGATATGTCCATTGTATTATAAAATCGTGTTTCTCGTTGAATTTAAACGATTGAACTAACTTTTTAACGGAAACAAACTTTTCGCTCTGTGGCGATGTATTACTGAAACCGAGTTATTTTACTTTTCAGGTGGGTACTGCTTTTATCGCAATAGCACTATTATAATATACTCGTACTTACACGTTGTGTGGCTGCAGCTCTCTCGACCTAAAGTGTAAGTAAAGTATTGAGTATGTATTTTAAGTAAAAAAATAATTGTGTAATTTTTTTTCTAATTTGTGATTAGTTATTGTTCTGTCGATTTTTGCGTGCCTTTCATTTCGTGAAGTAATTCGCGATCTCAATCTCACGTGTATGTGCTCTATTTAGTTGTAGTAAAGTATTTATAATGTTGATTTTACACTAGGTTAATCTTTAACCACCTCACTGAGAAATAGGAGGTCCTTACGCTATAATGGGTGAAAAACAGAACGGTGTAAGTGACATTTTATAAATTGTGAGAAAAGTGTTTAATTCAATATTACTGTAAGGTTGTGGTGTTTTGTTTCATCATTAAAAGCCCGGCATTTCAATTGTTCATTAAAACCACGAAATTACATTGCAACTGAAATATAGCCTAAAATAAACACGCTTTTTCTCAGAATTTATACAATGTCACTTATACCGTTCTGTTTTTCACCCATTTTTTTTAGAATGAAGCTTGTTCCGAAATTCCAGTGTGGCTGGCGCCAGACATTTTGCAGGCGCCTTTCTATTGTGGAAGTCGTAGAGGTGGGAAACGCGAGGTTGGCCACCTCGCCGCGTTCCCTATTCCGTCACGGCCCGTTACATTCGCCGGGCCTCACTCCTCGTCCCCGCCACTAGACCGTGACGTCGTTATCGACGGCACATTTCGCGCTCGTGCGGGCGGGGATGGCGCCGTCGAAACGGGGCTGTTTGCAGAGGATTGTCAAATTCAAAAGAGGCCGCGCGACTGGGGAGCTTAGGAAGCAAGTGCGACAGGAGCATTAGAACTAATTTTCTCAACTGATACACAGGTTTCTATAAAACCGGATGTGATTTTGAAATTTCAATCGAGAACAAGTGTATCGAAAAATTGATGCAAACAGTTAAAAATGGATACAAATGTAGAAACAATATATTATATTACACGTGACGCACACTAATTATTCGTAAGAAAATATTGCTTGAGAGCGAATTTAGTGCTCCTTGTATCCTTGTATTTTTCATTGAGTTTTGTTATGCCAAGTATTTTATTTTGTTTGTCTATAAATCAGTACACAGTTGTGTGAAAAAGAAGCGAATAGAGTGAAGTAAGAGGCTCATGAAAATGGAATCAATGTATTTATTTTATTGGGCCGCTAAAGTTGTTGATTTTTCTATTAATTCTTTAAAAGACACATTAAGCATTCAGCGTGACACACTGCACATTATACTTTTTAATATTCTTTTACGATGCGAGTTTTACTTCGTTTATTTTCATCCTCATATGTTATATATATTTGCCTAGTAATGTTCATCATTATGAAGAAGGTTCGATACCGGGCCTTTGTGAAATTGTTTCTTGGGTAAGCATCCTCTCGAAGGTTTGTAGTAATGTTGTAATTCACATAATTATAATCTTAAAAGTATACTTTATTACAGGTTTGAAAACCAACATTCATTTCGTTGTCCTTGGCAGGTATAATGATTTTATCCGTAGGAAGTTAAAGCATTTTTAACCACTATTGAGAATTTTATTTCACTGCTTTTACAATTCGTGCAATCACGTGCATTGAAGTGATCTGTTTTTTCGGCTTCTCGACATTTTTTTTAAACAATGATATGTGTTCCTTGTGAGTCCAAAATTGTGTAGATATTTAGATGGCGCTCTTCCAAGAAATTCACGCTGTCTTACTTCAAATTATGGCGTAAGGAAGCTCATTTCCTTACGCAATAATTTGAATATAATACAACGTGAATTTCTGGCAAACGTGGCATCTTTTGGAAAATTCCCGATCACGGGTAAAGCTGAAGAAAAAATACCATAATTAAAAGAAGAAAAAACAAACAAAAAAACAGTGGCACCTAGTTCTTCTATATAGCTAGTTGTTTCAGGAAGTGAAATGTCCGTTCTTTATCAAGTTTGTGTGCAGTCCTGACAAATGTTGAAGCCAACATGTGCCCTTATGTGGAATGTAGACAGAGAATTACAAAAAAGTCCAAACTTCCGCGTCCTTAAAATGCAATAAGATACGCTTTTAGAAAAAAAAAAAAAAAAGGATCTATTTTTGGCGAATGTCCTATTCTCCTTGAGCACGCTGTGCTCAGGTCGCGAGTCCCTCGCGCATTGAAGTGAAGGGCCGGGAGGGGATGAGGTGGGGTGAGGGATGGAGGAGGGCCAGTCGCAACCCGGGGCGCACTATCCGCACACCACTACCCCACATGCCTTCCGAGAAACGCCTCGAACCTGTTTGCGCGGCGCGCGTTTCCGGGCCTGCCATCGCTCCCACGCCGACAGCGTCACGCGCGGCCGCTCCGTGCCGGGATGCAGCCCGCGGCGGCTGTGGCTTCGGTCGGCAGCGCAAGTGCTGCCCGCGGGAAAGAAAAAAAACAACGTGCAATTGCTTTTGTTTTAACTAACACCGTGTCCTTATCAGGTGGTGATCCATGGATGGAACCACAGACATGTGCGAGATATGGAGCGGCATGAGAGCAAAAGCTCATGCCCGCTCGTACACGCGCTTGATAGACAAGAATAGGTATCATTATAAACACTTTCTTTTTTAATTTTCAAGACACGTACAAAGCGAATGGTAAGCGGAGTTGGTGCATGAGTGGGAGGAATGCTCGAATACCTGCACCCTCTCTCGCAGCGTGGTGGACGCTTCCGACAACATTACTATAGAAGTAAACAATAATATTCGTATAAGGCTTGAACGAGTTGATGTTCGATTAGTCAGAATGGAAATTCTTCTTCTAGTATCGGACTGTTTGGATGTTGGCGCCCAAGAGACAAGTAAACTGATATATAATTTTACTTGGTTGTTATCAAATAATAATTTTATCTTCAATATATATTTAAATAATGGAATTCATGATGGGTTTTTTTCTCGCCGGAAGCGAGCGTTTTTTACAAAGTGGAAGGCTTACATGGTTTAAGCTGGATTCGAATTGGCAGACTAGCGCAAAGAGTTTGCTTCTGCAGTCATTCCCAGGCCGATTGCGTACGATTTTTTTGTAATCTCTTTAAGCTGTGTTGCCATTTTTTCACCTCACCTACGCATTTGGCTAATTGGGAACTGCAAGGGGGCGTGGTTTGGGAACTTCGAAATTCAGTAATATCACCGTGTACTTGGGGTCGTTTCCGCAGGCCTAAACATTCAGAATAAAATAGTTCTGGGAAGGGCAACTATTCTTCACTCGGAGCCCAAAAGTTGATGTCGAGTGTCCTACCGCCAGTTAACGATTCCCTTGCTGATTGTCTTCTGCTTCTGTTCAGCTGGAAAATGTCCGTACTGTTTCAGCACGTGCCTCATCATCGTCGGACGTAGCTTGTTTGCTCCAGTTGTACTTTAAAATCCCCCAGAGTCGTGTTTGTTGTGTTCATTATTTGGTACTGTTATCCCCCTTTTCCATCAAACCAGGAAAGATAAACATAATCCGTAAAGTAAGAGCTGGAATCGCCTGGGGCGCTCTTTGAGCCTGTTGTATCGTTGATAAAAGAACGCAGTGGCGTTTGTGGGATTGTAGAAGATCCAGCGCTGAACCAAGCCCCTGCAGAGTCGGAGGCAGGAGGCTTGCCAGAGCACTAGTCCCACGTGGCAATGGCAGTGGTGACGACAATCTTGATGGAGAGGAGAACACAGCAAAGAAAAGGATATGGAGGCCGCGCTGCTGTTGATAGGCAGCTCCTAGCGGAGAATTCTGGAAACGACACTTTTTTGTCTCCAATTTTGAGATATCTGCATTATTTGAAAAACTTCTGTATTAATCCTTTACGTTATTGGTAATCACTTGGTCTGTGCGTTTCAAATGGATTGGTTGAGCATGCACGCGTGCAGTACGGAAAAGGTCAGGGTGAGACTTTCCCGGCGCGCTAAACCCCTGAGCAAGTCAGCTGTGCCCGAAACCTGAGAAGAATTTTAAACAAAACGACGAATAAGATACCTAATTATTAGCTTGTAAGCACACGCGTTGCTCCTCTTGATGTAAATAAAAGCGCTTCCTGTGAGGCCGAACCGTCCGCCTTACGCCGATGCACGCGCGTCCTACACATCATAATCTTCTGACCACTTCGCCGCGAGTGAGAATACATTACATAATTATAGTAGTCGGTGATTCTAGGGCTAAGTCGGCTATTATGTTCTTGATAGTTTCTACGTTTATGGCTTTGGAAAAATGAATGAAGAAAGAAGGTTTGATGAGTTTTTTGTAATGGGATTTAAAACATTTTTTAGGATATACTTTTTATGAGGGAAATGAGTCTGCAAAAATCGGAAAAGGTGGAAAACATTTCACGTCATTTTCCCGAGTTATTTTCGCCGGTGTTTTGAAAACATGACTTATTTGTCTGCGGATGTCAACTATTTTTTCCGTCCTTACTCTTCAACAGCAACGATTCCTCATTCCTCCTGATTTTGAACATGCGTGTTAAATAAGGTATTATATCCGGAATATAAGATTCGCAGCGATGTGAAATAAGGCGCATATCCTTCGCAACTTCGTTGCTGTTAGCAGCATCTTGGACTGTCGATTCGACCCCCGCCTCCGCCACGTGCTTCGCCGTCGCCTGCCGGCTTCACCGAAACCGCTGCGCATTCTTCACGGCTTCCAAGCGGGCGCGCGAGAAGGCGCGCGGCGGCGGCGGCGGCGGCGGCGGCGTGCGCGGGTGCCAAACCCGCGGCCTCTGCAGCGGTCCCCGCACCCTCTGCGGCGTCCCGCGCCCCACCGCGCCCCGCCGCTTCCGCTGGCCCGGCCGCCCGCCCGCCGGCTCACCTTGTGGAACCTGTTGCGAGCCCGGGCGTGGGCAGTCGTCGGGAGGGCCTTTCGGCGGCCTCCGCGCTGCCTGCCGGCCGGCCCGTGCGAGCGCGTGCCCACGGCGTGCGCGCTGCCGACGCGCGGCGCTTCGGGCGGGACGCAATCGCCACCCCCCGCTCCTTGCATCCGTGTGCTGTGGCTATTTTCCCATGACATTCCCCCAACCTTCATATGCGCGATCAGTTTCATTTCA